TGCATCCCCACTCTGCACGCAACCTGCTGCACAAGTAACGTTTGTACAGCCAGAGAAAAGAGCAGGTGGGGAAATAAATGATTTGTGTGGTTTGTCTGGCTTATTTAAAGACTGTTCCCCTTATCCTGTCATGTTGGGACTTAGTGATCTGTTAGCAGTTCTTAGAGCTACTTCCAAAATGTAATGATGTTTATTAAGAAAGGAGAGCTTGCATGGGCCAACAGCACCGTATGTGTTGCCTTGCAGCACGATGCACAGATGGATTACTATGGCACTCGGCTGGCGACCTGTTCTTCAGACAGATCTGTGAAAATCTTTGATGTTCGGAATGGAGGTCAAATCCTCATTGCAGACCTAAGAGGGTAAATGGTCTTAAAAGATGATGTTCTTTGCAAGTCTTTAACACTCTGTCGTTTTGGGGGGAACAGAGACAGAAGTAATGCTGTGGCTTTCTGATTCATTGCTTACTTAACATCTATATCTCTATAGACTTAAACTCACAATCTTAATACAAGGATAAATGTTTGGAATTGTTTTCAATGATAATGGCTTTGTCTGGCAGTCATACCCTATTTTTCATTTTTTTCATATTCTTCATATCATTGTATCAGTGATGTACGGAACACCAGTTTGTGACGTGGTGGCTGAAACAGCCACAACAGGAATGCATTTCTCCCAGCTTTTTCCAAATAATGTTGTTTCTTGCAGGCATGAAGGTCCAGTGTGGCAAGTTGCCTGGGCTCATCCTATGTACGGAAACATCTTGGCTTCCTGCTCCTATGACAGGAAGGTTATTATCTGGAAGGAAGAAAATGGCACTTGGGAAAAGACCTATGAGTACACAGGGCACGATTCCTCAGGTGTGTGGTGTCTGGAACTGGGGAGTGACACTGGGACAAGGATGGGGTTTGGACTGGAATAAACCCATCATTGTTAAGGAAGAAATCTTCCATCAGATTGTGATAAGTTAATGGAGGGAAGGCAGTAAGTCTGCTCTGCACAGGGAGGACACTTACAGAATGGCCTACTGCTGGAAAACCTGCTGTCCTGGTACATACACAGGACAAGTAAATCAGCTTTGGACAAACAAGGTCGTAGGGTACTGAAGTCTTGAAATAGCTTTGTATGTATCCACTACAGGAGGAAAGGAAGAAGGAACTTCAGTGTGCTGTGTTTTGTTTTCCAGTTGAAACTGTTTTGTTGACGTGATTGGTTCTCCTACAAGCACAGCTGAGATGTTTCTGAAGTGTTCAGTATGCCAAGGCACAAAGAAAGAAGTGGTGCTTTGCTGTTCAGTATTGTTCTTTATTCTCAAAGGATTCAACTAGAATTTACTCTTGATCCATGCTCTTAAGACTAAACCAGGGTTAAAAATGAGTTATAATGGATGCATACCTTTGTTTTGTTACTGATCTAGACTTTAAATGCTGTGCCAGCTTGTCAGCTTTTGTTCTAGGATCACTGATATCTCCTCACTGTTGCCAGGATAGTCAAGAGGATTTTACCTCACTGAAAGTGCTGTTCTGGTGGTCTGTATCTAAAATGGTGCTAAAACTAGAGGCAGTTTTCCATCATTCAGTAAACTGTGGTAACTGTCTTTGCTGAAATTCAGGAGTGCTAAGACTTGTTAGCTTGCAGAGCTGCTCACTTTGAGTGACCATTCAGTAATACAAGTCCGTGTTTGGGTTAGGCAGCTGAGTTAGCGCTCTGTTGTAACCCAGTCCATCTCATCCCTCGCAGTGAATTCTGTCTGCTGGGCGCCACACGACTACGGGCTGATCCTGGCCTGTGGGAGCTCCGATGGCGCGATCTCATTACTGAGCTACACTGGAGATGGGCAGTGGGAAGTCAAGAAGATCAGCAATGCACATACTGTGAGTCGGAGCCTCACATGAGCATTGAGTTGGTGCTTCAGAGAATGTGCAGACTAGCCAAATAGTGAAATACAATCAAATAATGTAAATCATTTTCCAGAACCCCAAATAACTTGTTTTAAACAAATCCAAAGTAAGAAAGTATGTTTTACAGTAAGTAAAATGGAGCAGAAAATAACGTGAAAGCCACGCCATAATACATCTGAGCGTGATTGTTAAACACAGTGCTGGAAGTTACATGGTGGGAAAGGGCTCTGATATTGAGAGCACCTCCTGCAATCTGGCTGTGAGTAAACTTCAACTAGAAGCTGGAAAAACTGCAGGGAAAAACCTGTGCTTTTCCCACACTATTGGGACTTGTCTAAACAAAACGTGACAGGCACCTAAGCAGTTAATGATGGTGGCTTGCACTAAAAGAAAATTGAGCTGTGGGCCCGCAGTTCTTTCTGCATTCCTCACTCTTAGCAACAGCATACATCTTGCATCTCTTTCTTTTTTTTTAATCCGTCTCCACTGGATACAGTTCCAAGATGATATTTGCCCATAAGACAGTTACTTAGCTACCTAACGCTTCCTGAATGAATGCCCACTTGAGAATAGACCGTATCTGAAGCTCTTATCCATTTAATTCTCCGTCCAGCATAATGTCCTCTGCTCCTTCCACAGCTTTTAGTGATGATCTTATTTTTTCCTTATGTAGATTGGATGTAATGCAGTTAGCTGGGCTCCTGCTGTCGTACCAGGCAGCCTTATAGAACAACCATCTGGTCAAAAACCAAACTACATCAAAAGATTTGCATCTGGTGGTTGTGACAACCTTGTCAAGATCTGGAAGTAAGTGCTTTCTTACCAGGCTTAAGAACTTTAAAAAAAAAAAAATAAGTCATTCTTTATGGTCTCTGAATGTCCCCAGTAGCACCTTGAATTATAATTTAGGCATCTCTATGCTTTCATCTTTAACCATTACTATTTTAGAAAAGTACTTTAAAAATAGAAACAACTTAGTGACTTAGAAACACTCATAGCAATTCCTGCCAGATCTGCTTAATCTTATCTTGAAAAGTGGCTGCTTAATTGTCCTTGATTACATTTGTTATTTGCAGAATAGCAGATCTCCATACAGTAACTGAAGACCAAATGTGTTTCTCATGTGTTGCATGTTGTTCTCTAGAAGGGATTTTGTCAGCTTAAGCCATGCAGCTTTTTGGAGGAGAGTAAAAACGTTTGTGCTTTGTGCTCTGGGGATAAAACCAGGAGGCTGAAAGTGATTAAAAGTCTCCCAGAACAGTAGGTGGAAAGCACAGCTGGCACTGCTGCCGTCCTTCCAACTGTGTAAATGTATTTTCAGAGAAGAAGATGGCCAGTGGAAAGAAGAGCAGAAGCTGGAGGCACACAGTGACTGGGTTCGAGATGTAGCCTGGGCTCCATCCATAGGCTTGCCAACAAGTACCATTGCTAGCTGTTCACAGGTGAGACTTCTATAGGAGTGAGCTGTACTTGTGCCTTGCTTTTGGCTGTAGTAAGAAAAAGGAGCGTTATGTACAGCAAATGTGCATATAGGCACACGTAGAGCTCACATCAGTGGAAGTGCAGTCATCATTGGAAATGCAAACAAGCTTGTTTTTGTGCGGCCAGCCAACCCAGTCTGTTTGTTTGTATAGGATGGCAGAGTGTTTATCTGGACGTGCGATGATGCCTCTGGAAATTCCTGGTCACCAAAATTGCTGCATAAGTTCAATGATGTTGTCTGGCATGTGAGTTGGTCCATTACTGCAAATATCCTTGCAGTGTCTGGAGGAGACAATAAAGTGAGTACTGCAGCCTCAGTTTGCTCTCGCATGTCTTATTTATGCTTCTGTTGTTTTGAGTTAAGGCTGCTAAAGACTTCCGTTTGATGCAATAGTGGGTTTTTTGTGGTTTGTTTATCTATTTACCTATAGGGGAGGAAGATCCTAACGTCTGGCAAACTACGTGCATTGCGTTCTTAGTCCTGATTGGAAATGTAGGCTTAATTTTATTTTGTAGGGATCCTACCACCAGAATGAATTCTCACTCCCTTTATTGCTGGATAACGATTTAGCAAACAGCAACAAATAATTTGATGCTTAAAACAAGTCTGACACACTGCTGTATCGACAGACCATCGCCATCTTAGTGATGTGATCGTTGAGAAAGGTGACAATGAGAAACTGGGAATGTTTAAGGCTAAAACCTGTTCCTGCTCTGTTTTTGAGGTCACACTGTGGAAGGAATCAGTAGATGGGCTGTGGGCATGCATCAGCGACGTCAACAAGGGCCAAGGAGGAGTGTCTGCCGTTACAGAAGGGCAGCAGAACGAGCAGTGATGTGAGACTGAACCAGCCCAGCTGCTGGAAGTGATCGCCGTACCTGACCTGCGATGTTTCTTGAATCAGATAAGAACTGGTTTTATCCAAACTGGACACGAATGTGGGAAATAACTGTCCAATTTTATGAGCACTCATACCAACACTGGGAGGCTACAATGTGTTGATAATCAGCCTTAATTGACATTCCCTTAAATTAAAGATGAAGAGAGGAGCAAAGTACTGTGCCTTGTGCTACTCCCTGATACTGTAAGAATTGTAACCTGCCTTCTGGTTCAGGAGTTGGATTTAATTGGATACACTTCGGGCCCTCGAGCAGGAACAGGAGGAGGCAGGCAATGAAACCTGTGAACCCATCAGTGTAAGGGGCAGATGCTCTGCCACTCAAAGGCCAAAACTATTTCAAGTGACGGGGCGGGCTGGTGGGGTTAGCAGGACACAACATTCTGGTAGTGCTGAAATGGTGCTTGGGTTTCCCTGGAAGCAACGTGCTCAGATACGTGATAACCTGCATGCGTTCCCAAAGATGAAAGAGTAGCAGAATGCATATATATTTTGCTTTACAGTAATCTCAAACGTGTTTATTTAATGAACATCAACAACTGAAAAATACGATTTGCAGACTCTTTTTTTTTTTAGCCACAGTTCTATATTGTACCTCAGGTTTTTGTTTAGACAACAAAATAAAGTCTTATTGGTTAAAGCCTGGTATGCTGTATGTGGTAATCTTTCACAGGGGCTTATGGGGAATTTCTGTAGTCTACCTTGACAGGCCTTAGTGTGGCTCTCATGTGTGATATTTGTGTATGGCTTTGTAAGAGCTCACGAATGCCCAGTCTGCCCAGAATCCAGAGTATGCCATGAAAATGCAAGGGGCTTCTGTTAGAATAATTCTGTTAGGAGCCAGAAGCTCTCCAGTGGTTCATCAGTGCCTACTTCCTTTGTGCTCCTTCGTGTTCTCTGCCAGCAGGCTCTCAGACAAAAGTCAATATGGAGATCTAACTCTACAAGAACTTTTTAACCTAACTTTGTTGCAGAACCTAACTTTCATCCATTGCCTCTGTTTGTTCTCAGCTGCCCTACGGCAGCTAACCAGCTTTCTTGGTGCTACCAAGCCAGCTGATACCACAGACATGTTTCAGAAATGATTTTCTTTTAATAATTGGATCACTCCACAAATCCGGTTTGAAATAATCAGGTAGGAAGCAGTAACATGAAACAGGGAATCTGCGAAAGAGAACAACGTGGAACTGCATCCCCAGAAAAAAAATCGTCTCAAAACCTGCAGATGTGCTAAAGAGGCTGTCTTCCCTGGCAGAGCAGTTAGGATGGGTGCTCCGTGTAGTGATGCTCTGAGTTACGTTTTTCCAACAGCAAATCTGACTCAATTAAAATTCCTTCTCATCTTCCCATCTCACACATTTCCCGTGCCTTCCTCCATCCTACCACTGAAGGTTTGTGATCTGTAGCATGGAATAAATCCCACAGATCAGCCACATCATTCAAGTCTAGTTAGAACACAGGCAACAGAAGGTGTAAGTTTGTCATCCTTTACAGTGTGCTCCTACTTCATTCCTACTGTTCCTTAGGTTTGAAGAAAATCCTCATGGGGTGTTTTCAGAGCCTCAGACATTGCTACAGCTATTCAGTGACATCTTCAAAGTGCAGTGTTTCATTTTCAAAGTAACAGAAATGATGTTTCTAGGAAACATCTTTGCTTTCAGTCCTTCTACAAAGGACAACGAAATCTGATAGAACCCAGAAGAGAATGTAGATGAGAGGAAGCACACTTGGGGCAAAAACAAGAGATGTGGCTGTTACTGCAGGCCAGGAATGCAGTTCTGCTTCTTTTCTGCTATGCTGCCCCAGATAACAGTAAAAGGGCTCAGGACTTTCCAACAAATGGCCATTACAGCTACTGGTTTTAGAAGGAACGAGGATAACGCCACGGCAGAAAAAGGAGATGAGAAGCACACAATTCCCTGCACAACTTCATTACACACAGAAAGGAACTCAGCAACAGATGTGTGCCGTTTTCACGGTTTTGTCGGCCGCTGTCTTGCAGGCACCCCGTGTTTCCAAGGGATTTGAACACACGTCAGGCTGCATTTCCAGAAATAGCACGGCACAGAACAAATAGCCCGCTTCCTATATAAGGTGCTTCAGAAAGCAGCAGTTTGGTGAAGCAGCAAAGGGAACCGGCACAGTTTCAGAGCATTTCTAAGCTTTCGCCAGTTTTCCTCCATAATTTCTCTCTGCTAACCTGTCTGCTCCAGTTATTACATCTCAGTTACAGAAGAGAACGCGGTAAGTAATGCTCTCTTTTGACAGAATATATTGCCTTTTTGCATGCAACAAGTGTGCCTTCTTTCTATATCCGTTTTTAGAAACAATTGCACAACATTCAAATCAGGAGAAATAAAGCACCACCTCGTGAAGACCATCATGTTCCTCAGAGTTGTTCTGCTAGGAATTCTCCTTCTCAGCATCCTCGGGACAGAGACTGCTCTGGCTGGCTCTAGTTTTTTAAGCCCCGCATATAAAAACATACAGGTAAAAATTCAGAATAATGCTTTTTTGAAATTGTCTTCCTCTATAATTCCTTAAAGCCAAATTCTTTACAGTGTTCAGAGGTTTGGAAGATAATGTTTCTGGAAGAGGAAGGAGGGATTCCAGAGGATTACTGTAACAAACCATTCACATGAGCAAACATAACTACTAACCTTAGAAACAAACCAACCAACTGAACAAAAAAACCCACAAACAAATGCAGCTGTTTAAATAAATTGGTGACTACACTTTGAAAATGAATTGGAAGGTGGCTGATCCATAAGGAACCCTTAAACAAACTGCTGACAAAGTGGATGCAGAATAGCAGTAAGTTATTGTATACCTACACATCCACACAACTTTAAAAGAAGGCACTGATAGCTTCAACTGATCATAACTTTAAAAGAAGCCAATGAAGGCTCTAATTAATTTGCTGCATCTGCGTTAATTGTGAATTCTATTTTCCCTGCTACAGACCAATTTGATTATGGGAGTTTTGTACAGGTGCTATTTTGCTTGCTTTCTAGCAACAAAAGGATACAAGAAAACCAACAGCAAGATTACATCGCCGAGGCACAGACAGCTTTTGGGATACAGATAAAGCAGAGGGAGAAGATGACAATAACAGTGTTGATATCAAGGTGTGTATTTTTCATTCCTGCTCACATACAAGTTCAAATGATTTTGTTGGAGCAGGAATACAATTCCTGCCACAGGAGATGTACCAATGAAAGCCATAGTCATTTAACTTGAAGGGCATGTAGAAAAAGACACATGAAAACTGCCAGCATTGACAGCATGAAGTAATTCAAAAGCATCTGCACAAAGGCAGATGGTGATCTCCTGTTAAGGACTTGCATTTCAGAACTAACATTAACAATGCAAGTTCCCTGCAGTTTCCTCTCCTCCGCTTTATCAGGCGGTTCGGTCTGCAGCAGCCCTGTACTGCGCTTATCAGATGATCTTTACATGTCTCAGCACTATTAAACGAATGCACATCATTTTGCCACCTCTTGCTTGTTGTCACGCCTAACGCAGAATTAACCTATAGTGCCTTGTCCAAAGATCATCTGTTAAACTCCTTTAATGTTTTTATAGTTCAACGTTCCTTTTGAAATTGGTGTCAAGATAACAGAAAAAGAATATCAAGAATATGGACAAGCATTGGAGAAGATGCTACAGGACATTCTTGAAGGGGATGCTAAAGGTAATTTCAAACAAGACATAAATGCAGAAACTCAAACAAAAAACAAAAGCCACATTTCACATTTGTCATGTGAAACAGTCAGAACAGCATTTCAGAAATGACTGGGCTAAGTAGCTAAGCTGCCACTAAGAGAGCAAGTGAAGTGCCTGATGTTCAGAAAACACTAGTTTAACTTCACAGAATGACAGCAGAGTAAATAAGAGCATTCTAGATGACTCACTAATAACGTTCTGAGTACTAACTCTCACCACCAACTGGTTGCTTCTTTTTGTTTTGTTTTTTAGTTTTGTTTTTACCTTTACTGCCCTTCATTCTTTATTTGCACTCAACTATATTAAGCTGTCCTTTCCAAATCTTTTAAGGGTTTTGTCAGGCTTCAAAACTCTATTATGCATTCCAGTCACCTCAGGCTTCTTCTTTCACCCAGCTTTTCAGGATCCCTAGGATTGCCCTAAGCACTTCTCTCTGCACTCCGAATTCCTTTTGTGGGGCCCTTTCTATGGCCATTACACAAATAAGACAATTTTATGCATGCATGCCCCAGAAGAACATTACTGCCTGAAAGCTTTATCTTTCTTCATTTGGGTGCTTGAGGCACTTCTGGACAGATTGGCAAAACAGGATTTTCAGAAAAAATACGAAGATTTTCAAACTAACCCTACCTATCTTTTGCCTTTTTAGAAACTCTGACAAAAGACTGAAGCAAACTGAAGGACACCCACAGCACTAGATGGCCTGGTTTGAGTTCTACTTTAAAATGAACTGAATTTACATCTCTAAGAAGAAAGCAGGACGTGAACTTGAGTAGTTTGCTCTAAGAAAAAGACAAGAATCTACAAGCAAAACTTCAAAGGGCAATGTGAATCACAGGCTGACATGTAGGCTTATCTTATTTCCTTCTTTAGTATCTACTGTGATTATTTTAAACGATGTATTTGAAAGCTGTATGAATCCTTTCTGCGACTGATGGAAAGTCCATCTTATTCTTCTATAGACATCTGTAACAGAGAATAAAGCTTATGCTGAAACTGCGACGTTTCTTATTTTTAGGAGTATCTCAAACTAGGTGGCTCACATAATAAACTGTGCAAACTAGATGTACATGGAATCAACTTTCAGTCACCAAATTTGCTTAATTCTCAAGGGATGTGTTAACATGGATATTATCAAGGAAAACACCCAATGTCTCTTCCAGTTAAAATCAATTTTCCAGTTAATTTACTCGGATTCAGAATCATACCTGTCCTAGTGCTAGATTTCAGAAAAACAAGGTATATTTTCATGCTACAAGTGCATACACCACTGTGCTCCACTGTGGCACACGTTCGTTTCTGTACACAAGCAATTATGTGCTTAGAAATGCCAACATGAATGCCCACATAGAGATTTGTGAATCCATGATTTTCTGGTCAGTGCCCTGAAGACGTTTTGTAAAGTACCCCAGGATAGGCTACCGTGATAAAGGAAAACACAGCTGCAAGGCTCAGTTCTTAGGCATGTTCTCTTTTCCTGACAGAATTTATCACCCAGGTGAACTGATTCCTTCGATTCCACTGGCAGTACCTTGTGTTATACCACCAGAAGCCAAACAAGATGTACAAGCAAAGGGGAAAACTAATTAAAAAGGAGTAAGTATTGCTAAGACAACTAGAAAGCAAATATACTTAGAACGCTTAGCACCAATTCAAATAGCCATATCATTCTGGTACCACAATCAGAAGAAATAGTGTAATGGCTTTCCCACCCATTATAGATCAAATCTCCAGGTACAGATCTTACCAGCATTTGCTGTACAGCTCCACAAGCCATGCACGTGCCTAATGGCTGCCTGTAGAAGAGCAAAACGTAGGGATAGTAGAAGTTTTCTCAGGTGTGCCATCTTGTCTGCAGTGCACAGTTAGTCCTGTTTGAGAGTGCTGACATGGACTCCTCAGGTACACAACCTGCAGAAGCGTTATGAAAGGGAAGAGTCAGAGCACTGAAGCCACATTGGCAATCCTTAGTTCTACTACTGGTGTTCTCTCTGAAAAATATTTAATGTTTTCCCAGCATGTTACATGAAAGCAGTCAATCAATATGTTTCCCAACAGCACAGTGAGGATACTCCTGGCCAGAGACACCGCATAAATCCTTCCCTGAAAAAGAAACTCTGCAGTTAGGGTCTGTTCCTAGAGCTTTGACAGAACTGTAGAGGATTGTAGAGGAAAAAAGCATGGGTTGGTTAGTCTACAGAATCAGAATCGAGGCAAGGCTATTGCGCTGTGTTATCCAGCTAAGTGGGCAGCATTTTTCTAAGGCTGCTCCAAACAAAACCGAAGAAAACCAAACAAGCCACTACTAGCAGCCTCCCAAAAAAACAAAAAATCACAACCTTTTCCCCAACGATCTAAACACAGTACTTTCTGTATTGCAAATACAGGATCGACCTCAGGAGGGTGGCAGAGACCAGTAACGCACAGCCTCACAAGCTGAAGCAGGTCTGGTGCGCTCTGCCGCCTGGAATAAAACACAGCACGGCACCCCAGCGGTTCGAGGTGACCTGTACAGCCTGGAGCAATAAGTTGGCCAACAGCAAACCCGAACTTGCTGCAAAAAAAGAAAGCCATTCTGTTGCAATGAGGTGCTTTTACACCAGCTTCATGCCGAGCAGAGCTTCCCCAGCCCGTGATGGCCGTTTCCCGGCTGTCACACGGAGAGCCCCGCAGTGCCGCGGTTCTGCCCCTGACGGGACGAGGGAAGCTTTTTAGAAAGCCGTATCTAAAGCTCTGCGCTCTCAGACGCACGTACCTTTCCGTACAGGAGGTACAGAAAGCCTGCCGCAGACCAAAGCGCACGGCACGCCGCGTGCTGCCGGCCTCAGAGCGGAGAGCGCGGCAGAGCCGAGGCCAGTCCTGAGGAGACGGCCCGGTGGGCGGGACCTTCGGAGGGCCGCTGCACCCATTGGGTGGCCCGGAACTGCTCCCGGCACCGATTGGCTGAACTCGCTCCGAGGAGGGCGGGAAGAAAGAGCCCGCCGCGCCGCTCGCTCCGCTCGGGCCGCCTTGGCGATGCTCCGCGGGAACAGGGAGCGGCGGGCGGGCGGGCCGGCCGGCTCTGTGCTCGGGACCCGGAGGAGCTGTGGGACCGCGGGGAGCGCTGCAGCAGGCTGCAAAGAACAGAGGTACCTGTCTGACGTGCGGGGAGCGCCTCGGGGCGGGCCGTCATGCGGAACAGCGCGCGAAACGCGAGCGGCGTTCACTGACCTGAGGTGTGAGGGCACGCGCCACGCCCCCAGGGCCGCCGGTATCGAGGCGCCCCGCAGCGCCATGGAGCTTTGCGGGCAGGCGGCTCTCGTTGTCTCCCGCAGCTCTGCGGGGCGGTGCCTTGCCGGAACCGTGCCGTGCCGTGCCGTGCCGCTCGGCCGCTCTCCCTCTTGCGGTGTCGTTCAACAGACAGCAGCAAGCGGGTAAGGAGCGGCACCGGAACCCATTCCAGAAATCACTGAGAGAAAAAACCACTGCTTAGCAGTGAGCGAGGATGCGCGTTTTACACCGCTGCTGCAGTCGCTGATGGCTGAGTGCGGGGAGGTGCTGGGTGCTTGTTCGTGAACACATGCAATGCTTCAGAAAGATGCAGAAAGGAGATTTTCTGTGCTATGAGTCGTGAGAAAGCTGGATATAGACAGGGCTTCTTCCATTTTTTATTCTCGAGTTTATTAATAAAGTATAAATTTGAAACGTTGAGATTAAAACATTGTATCAAATAGCTGAGTATAGTTACTGTAAGACTATGCAGAATATTAGCTGTGTTATGCCGCTCTTAATAAACATCTGGTAAGGTTCCATACCTCAGAATATGTTTAAGACTAACACGGAACAAAGGAAAGAACAACACAGCTGGCTTTGTGAGGCTGCAGGAGCCAGCCTGCTTCATGGCTCAGCTATCACTGTTTTACCCTTTGCCAAAATAAATACAATTAATCAAATTTAAACTGACTGATGATAAAATTGAGGACACTTTAAATTAAAGCCCAAAATGTATAGTAGCCACCACATGAAACACAACAAGAAGCCTTAACAATGTTCAAAGGACACTTAGGAAGAAAAACAACTTTCAGAGACACCCTATGAAGTGTAACTGCTGTCCTATAGCTCCTGACAGCAAAACTTGCTTAGACCTCCATGACATAACACGTACAGCTGGTACAGCAGCCCACAGAGCAGATCAACATGTCTTCAGTTATTTACTTACTGTTATTTTCAGTGCAATTCAAATTGAGATCAACCATAGAGAATATGTCTGAGAACTTGCATAGAAATTCCCTTCTCTGCTAACACAGTGTTCTTGGGTATACAGGCAAAGAGTGTATGATACAGATCATTTGAAAACTGAAACCTTCTTCAATCAAAGATTTGTCTCCACATATAGCATGCAATGACAATAAAGGGCATTGCTAACCAATTGTGGATCAGTGGTTGCTCTGTAACTTCTAGGACTGTGGTATTTTAATAAGACATCTATTATCTGCAGATACTTTTTGAAATAGAGAAGAAAAGGACCTTAATTTTTTTTATAATGCAGATGAGAAGAAAGAAGGCATTTCTGTTGGCAGAGCTGCGCTGAGCCTCAGCCTGTTTTAGGAAAGATGTTTTCTATTTCTTCTCAGCACCATCACTTTTCTTCAGAGAAGGATGTTTCTGATCCAAATCTGCTACTCAGACTTCAAGGAGACGTATACTTTTACCATCTATTTCTAATGAAGATTCTAATGATTCTAATGAAGAATCTGTCCTTGTTTCTTCTTGTACGTTGGTCACAGCTAGTAAGTCCATCTGGTTTAAGAATCAAAAAGTTCAGAACTGCTTAATTTGTCTTCTTCATACAGCAAAATATTTTCCATTAGCTTCTTTTTTTGGTCATTTATTTTTATTTTCCAGGATGCCTCTCTGGCTAACGCTGAAAAACAAAAAATTCCAAAGACTGAGAAAAAAAATCTATCTGCATCTAAGGCACAGACAGCAATTTTAAATTAAAAATCTGGTTTAGAAAAACTGAAAGGAAACAGAACATTCTGTAGATTCATTGGTAAAATCCTAAGCAAGGAATAAGAGCCCAAACTGTTGTGAAGACTTGGGTTAGAAGAGAAGCACGGACACTTGTGCCACAGCACCCGAACCATCGCACACCAGAACGTTCTGCACCCACACCTCAGCCTTATCTACATTTACCTTGGGATGAACACGCAGAGTCAAGGTCTGCGTTTTTGGACTGAAATGTGCTTTGTGCAGTAGCAGCCATTTCCAAGTTGTTGTCACTTCTGATGCATACTACGTTTCTTTCCCGGAGTCCGTTTGCTTTTGTTTTCTCCTTTATCCTGCAGTCAGAGCTCGCAGTGTTTTCTGAATTGTCACAGCTGTTGCTGAATAGCTCATCTGCAGATTTCTGTTCAGGATTCCAGATGAAACTCATCGATTCATCCGATTCACAAGGGATCCGTGACATCTGCAAACAGTGAGCGTCCGGTGGCACGACTCCTCCTGAAGGTGTGCACTGACCACCACTGGCCAGGAGCACCGGCTGCGTGTCCTCTTTATTCTGCCCTGCAGAAGGGGCATCCATGCTGAGGTTGGTTGTCTCATCATCGGTTTCTTCTGGAGTATTCATGGAAAACCCAGAAGTGCTGCCTCCACAGATGTAATGCTCTCTCAATTTATTTTCAGCTGTTTCCATAATTTCAAGCACCTGTTTTAAAACAAAATCTGTGAATGCAGAATAATCCCTGTACCCCTTGTTACACACATTACCGACAGCCCAAAAAAGTTGGGGCACAAAAGTTGTAGCTCTAGACCTTGCTGTCATGAAGGCAAAATTCTCAAAATCAGATTGTTAAAATATTACCTCTGCTATGTTAGAATTCTTCTTTCTCAGACAAAGGCAGATGGCTGAGGCAAAATCAATAGCAACCTCTTCCAGCAAATGTCCTGCTTTCTTGTCCAGGTATTTACAGCATATTTCCTTGGCAGCTAGCTTTTCCAAATTCTTGGCTTTGGAGCGTGAGTTTTCTTTTGCTATTTGGATTTCATCAGCAATCATGTCTTTCTACTCAAAGGAGAAAGGTACATTAGGTGAAGAAAAAATTAATAGCAATGTTTAATTCCATCTAAATCACTGAGAAGTCTTCCCATGTACTTGTTATTACTGCTCCTTAACAGCTGGCTTACAGATCTAAAAACAGTAACTGATTTCCCTTTGTAAAGTCACAGAAATGTTGCTTTCACAGTAAAGGAATGGCCAAAGGTTTTCTTTGCGTTGCCTAAAGTAAACCCAGCTGCTCTATGCTTACATCCACCTAAAGGAATGAAAAATCGTCAACGCTGCACAGAGCAGCATTTTTGCACAGAATTTTAAAAATATTTATTAAAAGAAATCACAAACTCAGGATCTTTTGTTTCTTGAAGCTGTTTGGACGTTGCTGAACGGTTTGGAAATTATACGTATGAAAACTACCATCTTCCTCTGAAAGGCTTCAACAACATGGTAAACCAGAAGGAGTGCATTGCACAGAAGGATTATAGGTGGAGTCTGTTTTTATGAAGATGGTGTTAATGGCATCGAGTGAGCCTGGGCAGTGCTTGTGAAAGCAGCCTGCGTAGTTTCAATGACAGCCTGGACAAATTGGCCAGGATCCAAATTCCAGACACCAGTTAATACTAAATGCCTGATAAACATGGTAATGAGCAACTGCAGTCAGAGCCCACCCAGGTTCCCCCCCGTGTGACTCCTCACACACCTTCCTGGCACAAACAAGCCTGCAGCAGCATTTCAGCACAAAGTGTGAGAATAAGAATGAGCTGAAAGCCAGTTCTGCTGCAGCATCTCCTAACATCAGCAAGGCCAGTGCTCACGAGTCTGCTGTGTGCAATGGGAACACGTGCTCTCCTCATATCTAAAGGTGATGAACTATTGGTGTTAATGGAACCACGACAGAATTTCTAGAAAATCTCTTCTGCAAAATGTGTGAAGCAAACTGCATTTCTATAACATGTAAATTCACCTTATGACAGCAACCCCATTCACTCGTGCCAGTGTTCATTATTTCTGCTTTTCCTTACCAGATAAACAGGGCTCCTTCCTTCATCCAGTGCCTTTATCCCTGTCAGTATCTCTGCTAAGACCTAGAAAGTTTATTTGACAGATAAAACAATTTGTTGACAATAAACTCTGTCTTTAAATGTCTGTATGTAAAGGAATATTGAACTGTTGAACTGTCAGGGCATTTTAGATTTCATTTTTAATTTAACACAACGGTGCCAAATTTGGGCAGTATTTATGGCAGCTTAAATCTACCTCCAGAGTCAAGTCCAGATTTTATAGTTAGGTACAACAGATAATAAAAAACCAAATGAAGTTCAAAAAGAAGACTGTCAGTATAAATTTATATAGGAAATGACACCAAACAGAGAAACTTCCTGTTAAAATGGAAACTTTTGAGACAAGTGACGTTTTGAACTCTTATCTCAGCTGAACTTCCAAACTGACAGATGCTTGTAGCAGTGGATGGGGCCAGTCTGTCACAGCTGTGAGAACCAAACAGAAAACTTTCTGCTACTCTTTTTCTCAACCTACCAACAGTAATACGTCTTTTGCTACATTTTGCCATTTCGTTGTTCATAAGATTCACATCACTTTGCCACAAACTGAAGTAGATTTGGAACACGAAGGTAATTAGAAACAGAATCTCAGCTCGTTATACAGTTAGCAATTGGGAATGAAGTTGCAGGAACAAACAGCTACGTGGGGAATGTGCTCATACATCCGTTTTCCTGTCTACAAACATCAACAACCTCAACAGAAGATGGAAAAAGGCAACCTACCACACCACAGCCAAATACGTCAACTTTTTCTGATAACTGCCCATGCCTGACAAAATCTTCTGGCAGATAAGTAAGAGAAGCTTGCAGGACTTTGGTTTTCATC